CCCCAAAACCCCAAAACCCCAAAACCCCATGACGATTTAGTATGGCTTCATAGGATATAATAAAATTTTGAGATAAATTTCAAATGATTGCAAATGAATAACAAAAGCTTATAAATTTTGATGGAAACAACCATACTCTTAATATCTTTGATATTGGAGATCAAGATATTAAAGAGAGATCAATCTTTTTTTGCTTCAAAATTATCGATTCCACAGAACATTGTCAATAGCTCGGCTTCAGTAGAATTACCTTGTATAATAACATTTTATAATTCTATCATTGGAATTTCATCATCTTTACTATATCCAACACACTATATAGTAATATTATCAAACAGTTAAGAATTACCTTAAAGATGTAATCAGCGAAAAAGCATGCCATCTCATCAATAAATTTGTCGTTTTCTCCTGTCGAAAAATCGCTCAAAGATGCTTGACATAGCTCAAACACTTCATCCCAACTAAGCATTCCATTGCCATCAGTATCAATAATCTAAAAATAAACTTATTACAAAATTGATTACCTTGAAGAATAAATCAATCTTCTCTTGGAAATTAGTTGAGCTTAACGAACTTATGCATCTAAAGAAATCCTCCATTGATAGCTGATTAGCCATTTTGTTTTCACTTTGATTAAGAGCTGATTCTATGATTCTTTCAATAACGTGCTGGTTTTCCATCATTAGTTAAGGAGCTCCATTTTTAAACATATCAAAATCAATTCCAGATAAATACTTAGCAGGATCTCTGGCTACTTCATCTCTGTTTTTCATTGCTTTATACCAGAGCATAGCCAAAAACTTAGTAAAATGAGCAATTATATCCTTTCGCTTCATCCTCATCTCTTCCTTTAGCTTGGGAATGTTTAGATTAAAGGGGCCTTGAAATTTATCTCTCATATACTTAGATACCTTTTCCTCAAAATCAGAGGTCTTGAAAGCATTTTCCCTAATAAAGTTTCATTAGTTAGGCTGCTTTTTCTATTGCCATTTAGATTTTATCTTTCTGCCCTTTCCTATGTCAACGGAACCGACTAATATTTCTTAATCAGCTGTGTAGAGTTTAGTTAATTCATGCTTCTCAGGTGGCTTTGGCATGTTAACTTTATATTAATCATGAGGAACAGTGCTTCTATTTTTTAGAATTTGTTAAGCGATTACCTTTTTGAGAAGCGAAATCTTGTCATTTCTATCAGGCTCTTTCTAATCTTCCCTTTATGATTCAGCCCTTTTCATTTTTATTGACGATCTCTACTTCTGTAAATCTATCTATCTCAATTACTTTTCGTGATTTTCAAAAACATTGACATCTTGAAGATAACTGAATTTTCTAATCTTATTGTGAGAACTATTTTAATTGAGCTCAGTTGATAAATTTATAGATTATTTATCAAGATTTTCTAAGTTTTTATCCATTATTTTCAAACTCTCAGTTTCTTGTTTTTTTGCTGCCAGGTTTTTCTTAAGCAAGTTAAGGAAACTCATTGGCATGTCATTTTTTGAAAAGGAATGCTTTGAAGACTAGTTATCTTGTTATTAGTTTTCAAGGGTCAGGTTTACCGAAGATTTCTCATTGGTGTCCATATTCATTGTGAGTTACTTAGCCTATCCTAGAATGACTTTCTTTATACTCCTATTACGTTAACGATTTAACTTTAATTATTACATTCCAAGTGATGCTCTGATATCAGTCAGCTCTTTCTCATGTTTAGCTACTTTAGGAGCCACAATTTTCAAGGTATCCATAACTTGCTAAGCATTTACATGGCTTCTTGGTTCTAAAGTTATAGTGTTCTCAGCATCTTCCTGGAATATTGTTTAAGATATCTTTGGCGGGCTAATGCTTTTATTCTTACTATCCCTTTAGCCTCCATTTTTATTCTTGATATCCATTTCGTAGACGAATTCCTTCATCTTAGCTATCTTGATAAATACCTTACGCATTTGCTTGTCTGTCACATCGAAATCTGGATTCCTCTTGACGAATAAATAGTCCATCTAGTTGATCTTACTCAGATCATTCATTATATCTCCAGCGGCATCGAAAGCGTAATTCAAATCATAATTTAGCTTAAAAATCTCCTTAACCAACTTTAAGAAGTCAGACATATCACATTCCTAGAGATTCTATACAAGTATTATTATGCAACAAATATACCTATGACTTAAAATTTGCTCTCTTTATTCTGATGTGATTTAATTTCTCACCTTGAGCTGGCAGTAGAGCAATGTGAATTTACTTCTGATTTGCAGCATTCTGCACCGGGGGAAGATTGCTTTCTCTATTTATTGTTGTTATGCTTCTTAGATTATACTATTAACTAGACAAGGATCTTAGAGTTTCATCTCTGAACAGAGATTTTTGTGATCTATTAATAAGTATTTGCTAATTATAGAATTTCTTACTAAAGATTCAATTTAGAACTAGAAGGAACATTCTACATCATTCTAGCTTAGACTTTAGGAATATGAATTTTCCAGATATTTGCATCTTCAATTGATTACATTACTGACTGACTCCTTGGATTTTCAAAATTCTCATACTTTTAAATCAAAACTAAGCTTTCGTTAGTTAAATCATAGTCAGGCTTCTGCCTCTTTATGACTTATTCTTTATATTATCCCATTAATTGCTGCTTTGGACCTTATATGTTGCATTAATTTAGGTAATAGAAATAACTTACTTTGATAATATTATCTAGCATCTTCAAGCTAATGCTTCTGTGAAGAAATTCTTGATTGAGATAGATTATATCTAGATCGGTTATCAAACCTTATGCTATTTTAACTATATTAGTGCAATTTGGATACTTGAGAACTCTAAGAAGGATTATTGTAAACAGGACTATCTTCATCTATCATTTCCATAGTGTGCAAGGTGGTATTCTAGTTGTAATCTTAATAGGATGATCGCACATCGATTGTGCTCTTATTAGCTTGTCCATACGTTTCAAGTCTTTGATAATTTGACAGCTGTGAGAGAGACCCTTAGTTTTAATTAATAACGATACTCTTTGAGACCTAAGATCTATCTATTTGAGGAAGCTAAAGACTGGGTGCGAAATCTAATTAAATGAAATGCTTGCTTTAGACAAGACTCCCCTTTTTATAAGGATCAAAGTCATCTTACTTCATCAAAGCACCCTTCATATTGACTAAATTGTAAGATTAGCCAATTTATTTAAGTTTTTATAGCTACAAAGATTATTTCTACTGCTTCATTAAATAATATTATTTTATTTTTAATCCTTAAATTCCTTTCATTTAGAATCCATGGGGTTTTGGGGTTTTGGGG